CTGGACACAGATTTGTGTAATGCTGTACTCAAGGACTTAAACTTATTAAAAAGTAAAAAATATAAGAGGGGATAAAAAAAACCCAAACTGTTAAGTTGGACTCGATCAAAATTTAAAACTTTGCCTCAAAAGACCCTATTAATAAAATGAAAGGCAAGCCACAGAAAGGGAGAAAATATTTGAAATGTATATAACCTCAAAAATAACTCATATCCTGAAAATATGAGGAATTCCTACAGTTCAACAACAACAACAACAAAAAATGACCCAATAGAAATATGGTGGGAAGATCTGAACTGATACTTTCCTAAAGATGACAGATACAGGTGGAAAACAAACACTTGAAAAGATATTCAGCATCATTAGTCGTTAAGGAAATACAAATTAAAACCACAAGGAAATACTCCTCCTCCTCCTACTACACATCATCTAATATGGCTAAAATTAAAGTGACCATATGAAGTACTGGCAAGGATGTGGAGGAACTAGAATTCATTTTTTTAAGGCTTTTATTTATTCTTTAAGAATATGTTTTTACTAGAGGCCCAGAGCAGGATATCGTGCAAGACCCAGACCTGCTGCACTGGTGGGACCCAGACTGACTCCCACCCTGCCGGGCGGGACGTGGGACTCAGAGTCAAGTCCCCACCCACCCGCGTGCGCCTTGCGCACACAGCCTCCTGGTGACCAGTCTTTGGTCGTTCTGTGTTACAGCATCACGGCACAGGCCTTTTATTAGTAGAGATTGATTGCAGAGAGAGGAAGGGTGAGAGAGAAACATCAATTGTCAGCAGCTTCCTGTACACCCCCACTGAAGATGGCCGGAAACCTGGGCACGTGCCGACCCTGAATCAAACTGTGACCTCCGGGTTCTTGGGTCGATGATCAACCACTGAGCCACACTGGCCAGGCATAAGGTTTTTATTTATTAGTGGCCCAGAGCATAAAATTCATGCACAAGTAGGGTCCCTAGGCCTGGCTGGCTATCAGGGTCGATTGGGGCCTTCTGGCTGCCGGCCGGGGCCTCCCTTCATTCCACGCCACCCCCTGGTGGTCAGTGCACATCATAGTGAGCGATCGAACACCCAGTATCCCGATCGAACTCCCAAGGGGACACTTTGAATATTAGGCTTTTTTATATATAGAAAATATAGAAGATTTTTACATGTATTTTTACTGATTTCAGTAATGCAGCACTAAACTGTGCAAAACTGAAACAAATTGGATGGGAACACTTAAATACCCAATGATATATCTATAAGCAAAATCAAATAACAAATCAAGAAAATTAATCACATTGCCGGGGCCGGTTTGGCTCGGTGGATGGAGCATCGGCCTGCGGACTGAAGGGTCCTGGGTTCGATTCCGGTCAAGGGCAGTGCCTTGGTTGCGGGCACATCCCCATTAGGAGATGTGCAGGAGGCAGCTGATCGATGTTTCTCTCTCATCGATGTTTCTAACTCTCTATCTCTCTCTCCCTTCCTCTCTGTAAAAAAATCAATAAATTAAAAAAAAAAGAAAAGAAGAAAATTAATCACAATAATAAAGTCTAATCTCTGTAATACAGGGTGTCCCCCCCAAAATATATACACACTGTAACAGCTGATAGCACAATTTAAAAATTTTTGTGTTTTATTGATTTCAGAGAGGAAGGGAGAAGGGAGAGTTAGAAACATCAATGATGAGAATCATTGATTGGCTGCCTCCTGCACGCCCCCCACTGGGGATGGAGCCTGCAACTCAGGCATGTGCCCTTGACCAGAATTGAACCTGGGACCTTTCAGTCTGTAGACCGATGCTGTATCCACTGAGCCAAACTGGCTAGAGCTGACAGCACAATTTTGAAAATAAGGTGTATTTGAATAAACACTGCCCCTATAATCATTCAAAGTGCATATGTACATTTTTGGGGATACCCTAGATAAGAGTTCCTGAAAATCAAAAGGACTAAGAACTAATGGGAACATGAGTAAAGGATATGAATAGATAGAAATGATTCAAAACATAGAGAAAGATGTCAAAAAAAATTTTTTTTAAAGTGTAAAATTATACCAAGATGCCCTTTTACCTTGAATTGGTAGAAATACAAAAGCATGAAGTTTACATTATTGGTAAGACTACAGGAAAACAGACACTATAGACTGCCAGTAAGAATTAAACTTTGATATATCACCAGTAGGAATTAAAGTAGCAAAAGTTTGGGAATAACATTAAATGTCCAAGAAATACTGCCGAAACCGGTTTGGCTCAGTGGATAGAGCGTCGGCCTGCGGACTGAGGGGTCCCAGGTTCGATTCCGGTCAAGGGCATGTACCTGGGTTGCGGGCACATCTCCAAAAGCTTTTCTTAAAACAAAATTCTCAATGTACTACAAAAATACAGTAATCCTAGATACAATGTAGAGTTAAAAAAGCAAGGTACAGAATCTGCCTCAAATGCATCCTTCTGTGTAAAAAAAAAAAATAATAATAATACATAATCATTATATTTGTTTATACATGTATAAAGAAACTATAAGCACATATAAGAAACTAACAACAGTGGGTACCTCAGTAAACTGTGGATGGCAAGAAAAGAATCATTATATTTATACATATATGCTTATGTACACATTTTTATATTTGAGACTTAGGAATACAGTACCTATTAAAAATTTAGTTTAAGAAAAAGCAGAAAAAACATTTTGAAGAATTTTTAATATACAACAACCTTTCAATACCAATGAATGTTTATTGAAAAGAAAAATTATTAATACTAGGATCCCAACCCTTGAGTCCACAGGTCGACGCTCTATCCACTGAGCCAAACTGACCAGCGCCCAATTATATTTTTAAAAAATACACAATACCTACCTGCATCCATGCATCCAAATGAATAAAAAAATAAGTGAATGTAATATACTAAAATCTTAGCTTCAGTTTGAGGTATACTGGTTTCCTCACTTTACTTTCCTGTGTTTTCCAAACTAACATATCAAGAGAAACAATAAAAGAAAATTGTACCTTTACCTCAAAATCTGCTCCTGACAAGCAGAAATTCTCTTCATGAATTTGTAAAATATCTTATCTCCACTTTTAATTATGGTCTTCTCATATTTTTCATTACCATCACTAGGAAGACTAAAAAGAGAATCAGAAAATAGTTTTGAGTGTCTATATCTAGAGAATTATAGTATTTAGAAGAGCAAACAAGGTAACTTAAAAAAATTTTTTTACCAAAATTAACATATGCAAACAATTTAAATATCATAAATTTAATACATTATAATATATAACAGTAATTACCTTGCCCACCCTTTTCCCACGCCCTGCTCCCTAACCATTTTCAACTCTGGAATGATGGTTTGCAATGTGAAGAGTCATTGTGCCCAATGACTCCTTCCATTTCTTTCTCCATTTGGATTATTTTCAAACACCAACACGTCTTTATGCAACCCCAAATTATTCCGAAAAAGCTGATGAATGAAAGCGCTCTGGTACAGAACCAGGTCATCTCTCCAAATATCTTGTTGTAATTATATTGTAACAGCAAAATAATCATGCTTACGTCTTTAGAGGGCTTTGGTTTATATAGCCCTTCAAGACCTACTCTCTCACTTGACTCCCAAAACCATCTGATGATAAGACAATATTTATCAAAGTCACTTCCATTTTACATGTCAGAACAGAGGGTCATCCAACTGAGCCACACTGGCCAGGGCACAAATAGCATTTTTCTAACTTACCTGTCTCAGCTACACATTTAGAAAGAGAAAAGAAGAGAGATAGTGAACACATCTTCTTCTGTAAGTAGTTGGCATCCCTAACTTCTGTTTTCAGGCTAACTCAAGAAATTGAAGCAAAAAGGTCTTACACAGACAAGTTCTGCCTGTAAAAGTTCTCCCATGTATTAGGGTAAAACCAAAGGGTACCTACTGTGGCAGCTTTCTGATCAAGTCACCTCTTCACCTCAGCTGCACACATTCTCACCTTTGGGAAAGCAGCTCTTCCATATCAATTCCTTCTCGCTGTTGATATTCCCTGAGAAGACTATGCGCATGATCTAGACTGACAACGTCCCTGTAGTCATCCTCATCTACCACACCGATGTAGCGGGGCAGGAACTGTGGCACCACAGAAGGCAAGGCCATCCCTTCCCCAGGAGGCACAGGAAGAGCAGCATCCGTGTGAGTTTCCTGAAGGTGGAGGTCTTGGAGCTGGGCAGTCCAGTCTACGTCCTTGGCACTGTTCGAATCATTTCCAAAACCCAAGGTAAGCTGCGGTGAAGGCGCCTCCTCATTGTCACTTCCCCAGTCTTCCGCACCTTCACACCAATCCTCAGCTGCAAGGCCATTTTCCTGTTTCTGGAAGAACATCCAGTGAATGAGGTCCAAGCACACCTGGGTGATCTCACCTATTCCCTTGGCTGCAGCCACTCATCCCTTCACCTCCTGGAGGCAGGCTTCACACAGCCACTTCCCTTCTAGCACAATCTGATCACTTCATGGACCCCATTTACTCAAAAGCATGTTGGAGGTGGCAGATAGTGTCTTTCCTCTTTAGGGGCAGTATGGCAGATGCAGTACAGTGCCTTGTTCAACCCCCTGTTCCAAACTCTTTCAACTGTGCTTCATGTATTGCAGAATCTAGCAGGAAAGAATTACATTTCCCAGACTCCTTAGCAGCTAGGGGTCCAAATATGATCAGGGGTCTGCTAATCGGGTCCACCAGAGAGAAAGACAAACTTGAGAGGCCATGAAGCAAAAGTCTGCAGATAAAGAGAGAGCATGGCTCTAGAGTCAACAGTTTTGACCAGGGCAACTACGTTCACAAGCCCACACCTCAGCTTCCTGACTGCAGCAGAGGTAGCCTAGCAGCTCCCTCACAGACCAGTTCTGAGGTGTCATTCTGGAGGTCATTCCTGGAGTTGCCTTCTCCAGCCTGTCCAGTACGTTAGCAAAAATCTAATTTTAAGTCTCACCAAAAAGTCAAATTGCTTGTCTATTATCTGCAATTGAACCCTGCAAATATAGGCAGACACCACGGTCATCTTTTTATCCCCAGTATTGCTAGTACTGTGCTTGGCACATATTAAGAACTCAGTATCTATCTATCTATCTATCTATCTATCTATCTATAGATATCTATATCTATATATAGCAACATTTATAGGCAAAGGGAGGCTGAAATTTGTTCTGCTGTTACCAATTTGCCTGACTTTTAGATTATTAAATTCAGAGTTTGTGCTGAAACCGGTTTGGCTCAGTGGATAGAGCGTCGGCCTGCAGACTGAAAGGTCCCAGGTTCGATTCCGGTCAAGGGCATGTACCTTGGTTGCGGGCACATCCCCTACTGGGGATGTGCAGGAGGCAGCTGATCCATGTTTCTCTCTCATCGATGTTTCTAACTCTCTATCCCTCTTCCTTCCTCTCTGTAAAAAATCAATAAAATGAGCGCTGGCTTGCCAGAGTTTGTCTTATTAAATAAGTTATATACATATACATATATACATATCACAGTAAGAATATTTACTATAAATACATATTTGTATTACATACAACCATGTATATGTATATACTCATACTTTTTCCCAAACAAAAAAATCAGTAAGCTATGTACCTCAAGACCTTCAGTGTATATTAAAAGAAACAACTAGCCCTGACTGGTTTGGCTCAGTGGATAGAGCGCTGGCTTGCCGACTGAAGGGTCCCAGGTTCGATTTCAGTCAAGGGCATGTACCTTGGTTTCGGGGCACATCCCCAGTAGGGGGTGTGCAGGAGGCGGCTGATCAATGTTTCTAACTCTCTATCCCTCTTCCTTCCTCTCTGTAAAAAATCAATAAAATATATTTTTAAAAAAGAAACAACTAACAAAACCTTAAGGAAATAGCATTTTATGGTTCAGAAAAGAGCAAACAACATTCCAAAGGCCCCTAGCCGGTTTGGCTCAGTGGATAGGGCATTGGCCTGTGGACTGAAGGGTCCCGAGTTCCATTCCAGTCAAGGGCACATGCCCGGGTTGCAGGCTCAATCCCCATTAGGAGGCATGCAGGAGGTAGCCGATCAATGATTCTCTCTCATCACTGATGTTTCTACCTCCCCTCTGAAATCAATAAACATATATTAAAAAAAGAACACGGCTTAAAGTCTGTCTTAAACGATATTCTATAAAATACCCTGAAGTCACAGCAAATCCTAACATGCACGACCGCTTTACCTGAGTGTCCGGCACTTCTTTCTCTCGCATCTGCAGGAACTGGGAGCGGAACACCTGCCAGCTTCAGGGTAAAGATGACTGCGGTGAGGGCCCCACTCCCGACC